AATTACTCTAAGTGTTGGTTTGTAGGGATTTGGTTGGTTACAGGATCTCATCATGAGCTGACATTGGTTAGACAACCATTGGAAAACCTGGGAGTACTGGACAGCTGTCTCCCATATGACTCCATACTGCACAGTTTTGGTGTTGGCAATGGCTGCTAGAGCACCATTCATGGACGGTGAACAATACAGGAAGTGTTTAAATCCAACTGCCGAGTAGGCTATGAATAACTCGGTCCGTATGATAACCGTAAACCCTTTCGAAAGAACAAACTGGCGGAAACCTGGAGCAGAGTACCTCACCTTGCGCAAAACAAAGGGCCTGGTACAAGTCGTCACCTACGAGTCTTAGGCAAAGTGTCAGAGCCTACAGAGCTCTAAGCGACGTATGAGATACCAGCCTTCGAGTAGGTAAAAGAAAGTTCCACGCGAAGCCATCCAGTAAAATGCAATTTTCCCTTTCTAGTTTGCACTGGTTCATTGCTAGGACTACAAGCACCAATCAGGGAATGTGTCTTTGGAAACTGGGACGGCGAATCTTCGTGAAATCTGGGGGATGTCGAGGCCTCTGGCGTTACTTTCGACTTTCGACAGCTGAACACCGAAGAAACGAACGACACCCCACCTTCTATCTCACTAAGTGAGTTGTTAAATCATGAGTAGGACAGAGGTTGATTACGGAGACACTGGAAGCAAGCTATCCCATTGATTTCTTTAGGGATGGGGGTTATTAAAGCACCTAGATATATAGGGCCGTAGCTTTGCTACCCACGGTTTCAAAGCGAACTGAAGGCCTATAGAGTGGTGACATCAGAAAAAGCCTGAGTGGATAACATCCTGAATGAGGTTCAGCACATATTCAGAGAGGATTCGTCCCGCACTACCAATTTGTCTCAGGTTGTTCAGCGACTAACACTTTACATCATGTTTCTAGACCTAGTAAAATCCTTATACTAGATGCCCCAAGCAGCGAGAGTCCTAACGTTCTCCATAGTCGGAATAGTAAGCCAAATTCTAGTTTGAATTGGAGTTTTTATGGAAATTGCAGCGTTTTGCATGATGGTTGACCAAGCATGGTCTACGACCAATGGGTCATCACAAGGAAACATTGCCGGCCTATCTTCATTTATTATTACCACGAATCGTCTCTTGAATAACTTGGGCCGTTTCACAATGTAAAGCTGTGATTAGTTGTGCGAAATGAAGAGGAATCCATCGGGATGCGCTTATAAATTTACTACCTCGAGAATCGGGCCACAGAAAAAAGGCCAGCACTTAGCATTAACACTTTAATCCACACTCAAGCAGAGGAAAGGAGATAGATAATTATTATTTGAAATTGACCTCTCTAATACGGAAACAGAGTGGAATCTTAAGCTACTATGAGCAGACAATATGCAGGTAGCACAGTGAGAGCCACCAGGGCTGTCAACTCAATGGGTAAGCAGCTATTCGTACTTACACTTGCACAGTTTTCGCAGTTGTACCAAGCACAGTTACAGACAGATTTGGAGGTATTAAGTCTCACTGTAGTGCCACTTCTAAAAAGGGAAGCAAATATATTAGGACATGCACAATTGATGTTGACAGTAACTGTCACCCCATCGAAATAATCATAATTTATATTTATTACAGGCGCCGCACCAGTAACCTTTGGCGATACATAATTGCAGTCTTCAACCAAACGAAAATAAAAACAGATTGTTCTAAATAGCCTTGACAAACTCCCGGACAGACCAAATGGTTCCAAATAGAATTATATCGACAACAGAATGCTGAATAGTTGCAATACTACTGTTCCGTTAAACGAAATATATCGGATAAATGTTGCATAAACCCACAAATTTGAGGTGCTCCTGCGCTCAGACGAAAAGGGTATGACTGTTCAACCCAAAATTAGCTCGCAGTTAGCAAAATACCAATTTTAAAAAGAAATTTATAGCATTCCAATGAAACACAAATGGCCTAACTACAATAAAACGCAGTATGGAGTATAAAGTGCAACTTAAGCGTTCAAAGGAGTAATATACGACGTAACACGCAATGCAAGAGGAAAGTTTCTGTTCCGAACGATTAGTGAAGTAATATTTAGAATAATGTTCATTCATTCAGGTGAGTAATTACGCAACACCTTCAAAAACTATACTCCAGACACAGAGGAAAAATTCACTAGCAAATCACCTGCACTCCCTATACCAGTCCAGGCACTCCTTGCACAACACATGTGCAAACATACACTCAACTGGTACACACTGCACTGAGCCAAGAGGACTTACATCAGTACGCCTGGTGACCCTTAAATCTGGCTTTTTATTTTAAGGATCTATGGCTTACACGTGTAAGCATAGATGCCACCCTGACTAGCCTTATTATAACTGGTCTCCAAGAGACATTTTCCTCATATTGCTCGCCAATACTCTCTTGGTAGTCGTCACCTTCGCTTGTCTAAGTCGCCTTTACTCGGCAGCCTCCATCGCATGGGCTGGAGCGGCCACTTACTCTTTCTATCAAAGGCCGATACTACGGTAGCCAAGTCTCTGAATTTCATATTATTGCTCATATTTGCGCATTCGTTCCTTTGCCATTACATATACAATCATATACATATTCATACAACTGGCGTTTTCGAAACACAACTAGTATTTAGTTGGTTTGCTCCTACTTTCTGGAGAACTCGTCGCTTAGATAGGTTACAGTAATACCCATCGAGTTATCACATAGTAACATCAGCTGGTCGGTGCTGACACATTGAGATCTGCGTCCGATGTAAGTGGCTCAAGGGGTCTGTTACTTACAATACGCTCAGCCACTATGTGTTAAGCCATAAGGCCTTCATCTGTCAATGGTTGTTCACGAACAAGTCCAAATCAAACCCTATGTAAAGCGCGAGTCACATGTTACTAATCACCACCTCAATGGCTTGCAGCTGGCGGGTTGAAGTGCCGAACCATACCCTTACTCGTTAATGTGCTGTGTATTCATTCTTGGTTTCATACTCTTAAACACTTATATGTTTCTCTTTTCATTCCTACTAAATTTTCTCTGTTGTCGCTGAACATATAACTGGGGGATCTCTTACTAATAAATCTTATTAACACCAGTATAAAGGAGCCCGTGGAGGTATGCTGGCCTACCTCTAGTTACGCAGCTCGCAATTTGAAACAAGTGAGAATACAACCATATCGTTTCCCACCTCTCTTACTCATTGTCACCGTTATTGGCCTGAAATAGTCAATGTCTACAGAAGATACTTTGGCATGGGTGGCATTAATTGACACTGGCTTAGCATTTGCCCCTCTACACCGCATACAATTTTTGATTACCTTCCTCATTGATAAGTCTCCTCACAACAGCCAAAACCTTTCTCTCAGAGTTCTCAGGATTTTGTGGCGCCTACATTCCTTCCTATGATATGGCAGTATCTCTTAATGAACTCCATGACATGATATTTTGGAGACGGTACTACGAGGTTTTACCGTTCAGTGGGCCATCACGCGTTTCGCAGTTGGCCACCTACAAAAAATCTAGTTATATATTAGGATCGGACTGGGTTTGCGCAGGGAAGAGGTTAGCTTTCGTTTTCCTGAACTACCAAATGTTATTAACAACTTAGTTTCCTTCTTAAACTCTTTCACCTGAACCATTCCCATGATATCCAAACTAGCACGCAGTAACTGCATTGTGGCGTCTATACTCAAGAAGTATTATTCATATAATCAAAACGTTACTGTTTTCGAAAAGTCATTGGAAGACCTGTGGAACAACCAATCAGATTATCGTGTCTGGTAACAGGGGACATAAGTCGTCGTGTAGGATTACACAGATTTTGTTATGTAATCTCAAAGGAACAAAAGGGGGAATGACATTTTCCTGGGAGGAACGATGATGCAAACAATGCAAAGCTAAGCCTAAAATTTGCTACTGAAATGCGGTCCTGCCTAAAATACCCAGAAACTCCTAGCCTGCATTTATCTGTATTTATATTGCGAAATGCAATTACGAAGACCTTACATGATAACATTGAGGAACACATATACTGGTGGCTTAATAAATGCTTTGTTTGCTACATGAAAATAGGATAGTCTTGATCAGCATGAAAATAAGCAGTTTGCATTTGGGAGCTATTTTGAACTCATGAATATCACTGAATCATAGAATTAGACTTATCTTTTAGATTTGTGAGTACAAGACTGAGAAACTGTGAAAACTAGATTGTGGTCAGCATCCCGTGAAAGTGGTGCTGTATCCACTGTGGCTGATATTTGAAACACAGATAGGTAATCCCAAAGTGACTCGATTCAAGTATGATGAAGTGAGCATTTATGCAACACTTGTCAGATTTTTACACTAGGCTACTATTTTAGATAATTGTTATGAAAATTAAATGTTCTGAAGGCGGGGAACTTCCGGTCAGCAAATGCACATGCTCTTAAATTATGCACAGTTGCATTGAAGTATGTGCCTTTCTGAATTTCGCTTGTTGACCTTATTTTATAGGATGGGATGTCTATTCACTAAAGCGCAAAGTTTTTAAGGAACGGCTTACTACTCATACTGCTGCTTTCTAAATAAAACAGACAGTTGCATTTCTAGACTGAAGATTTGTAGCGCAAGTAGATGATATTGAATAAGTAGTGTTCTCTGATCTGGCTGACTTAATTGCAAAACTTTTGTACTTCTAGGCAATATTTTCAGAGCGGGTTATAGTATAAAATGAACTTATTTGAGTTCTCCATTAATAACGTAATTGTATCCCACTGTCGTTAGTGGTTGTTAGTTTATATCCCTATTGATCATATTTTCATTAACTTGGAATTAGAACTTTATTCTCATGTGCTTCGCTTTTTATTAGCTGTCTAAACAACATCTGAATCACTCACGATGGATTTTCTGGTTATAAGCCTATTGATTGCCACCAGCGATGTGTCACATATGCAGTGACGTGATAATTTATTCATCCTAATTCGAAGAGGCAAACGAAATTATATCATAATTTGCCAAAGCTTGGTTTGAAATGCAAATATGTGTGAATTGGGTCGCTTGTTATACGTTTGTTTAAAACGATCACTTAAAATTTACATGTTCTGACCTTGAGGGTGTGGTAAAATAAATATTGTGGATCTATCGCGCTGTATTTTATAATGTCTGACAACGGATCTCTAATACAAAAAGCTCTGGCAGCGAATGTAAGGATACATTCAAATGTTTTCATCTTAAACATTTTATCAGTAAATGTATTCGATTTCACGAAGTTAGAAATGATCTGTCAGTGACTTGATCAATAATAGTGTGCAGTTACTTGTTTTATGAAATAGAATGTTTGGAAACGACAAATCTTGGTTATATTTCACCTTACAGTGTCTTCTAATTATTTATTCAATTCTCGCTAGATTATCGTTTTTTTATTTTGAGCTTTAAAATGGTGGATATGTTCATAAGTTACTTGAGTTGACGGTGGTTTAGCAACGTTTTTCATTTATTGGTTAGAACCTCTGTACATATTCACGATTTATTCCTACGGTGCATTTAGGCACAGGAGAGAAATTTGTCAGAAAGAATACATTTGTCCACACTTTGATGTCTATCAGGGTAATTAAGGTTTAAGGATACTGTCAGTACGCTTGCTTTTCTAAAGACAAGCCGTACTAGTAATTATGACAATGTGAGAATGCATATTAAGTTGGTGCATAATGTCTAACAGTCTGATAGCAGCATCTATCCAAAAGGCAAGAAAGCTTGAAATTTCTTCTTGAAGTCTCACATGATTTTCCACTATTCAAAACTAAACAGAGATGAATATATGTATGATGATCAAGCATCGATCTGCTTAAGTTACCAAAGTAAATATAGCTCACAATATGAAAGGAATTTGGACACCTCAAGATGCAACTAGCGTAATTGTCTTAAGTCGCTGTAAGGTGAAAGACTGTTCGTGACAAATTGATGCCGCTTGGTTACAGCACGTTTCTAAAACTATTTATCGGCTTGTTTTTATGCAAAGCCTGATATATTTTTAGCCACTGCCAGTACTTCCTTGATCTGTTTCTACACGAAATTCAACTTTATAGTCTTTTCCTGATGTAAACCATATTCTCCACTTTGTAAAATGCACTTACGTATTGTAGTCACGATAGCACTTTTTTTTGTAATGTAAGGCAGAGGAAATGGAAATATCTTCAGTGGTTTTTGAGAATATTATTTAACGGAATCTGTCGGTATAAATAAACTGTGGGATACATATAATAATATTGTGTCATCATCGTTTTAAACCTATTTAGCTGATGACTCAACTCCTAAACTTAGATCTAAGAAAGGTAGTTATTTCTCATTGCTGATTTGAGGGTCCCTTCCGACATATAGAATTTTTAAAGTTAGATTTGAAAATCAACTGTCTGAAGGTAGATACCTTTTTGCACGCAGACAGTTCACACTATGGTTTTAAATGTAAATCAGTCATTTGCTTTATGATGCTGCTTACGATATGGGTGATTTCGTCTTTTACACCTGGATTCATGTATATATTTCTCCTAACACAACTCACATTATGAAAACAGTAAACATATCACTAATTAGATTCAGTGTATTAAATGTGGCTTGAAAATGAGTGTACATGTGTATGTCATGTCTTTCGATACCAGTCTCTTCTGGTAATATGTCGCATAAGGCTCAATTCACCCATTCGCATAACCACTTGTGGCTAACACAGCATATACTTTTTTCGGAAATTAAAACCGGTGCATATATACACATACTCAATCTCAACTGATTAAATTAGTAGATAAATATATTTCTAACTCAAACCTTAACCTAAATTATTAAACATTGTAAACTTTTTTACTCCTAAGTTCTTAGGCGTCCAAATAAAGTGATTTTGGTTTTCATCGGTGACAAGGAAAATCGATAGTTTTGTTAACACACAGCTGAGCAATCGGTTACTGACTAGTATGATGTCACAACTTACATTGTGATTACAGGTTGATAGTTAGTCACCCATGAATTGCCAGTTAGCCAAAATTTTAGAATATTTCTAGTCATTTTAGCAACTGGGGACATGCAAATGTATTCACTTTTAGGCTAAACTTATTTGTCTCAGTGAAGCGCAACGTCTAACTGTTTAATTTCAAACCTGTTTGTCAGTTGGTGTAACTTGGTCACTAATATCACTAGTCTGCATATTTGACATGCAGCAACAGTCAATAAATTATTACTTTTCAAAGACCTTTCTTTGATTATAACCCAGTCTTAAATACATTAGTTTATGGTCATATTAGTCCTTTGTAAGAATATTCGAAATGTTTCTTTTGTTTGGTAGACATACCGCTATTCACGAAAGGTAGCCTTTAAATCTCCTTCAGCGATTTTCAATTCATTTAAATCTTAAGCAGATATTATTATTTTGCAGCTACGTACTTGCCATTTTTACACATTAATGTTTGCTGATGTGCTTTTTTATCCTCATCTACATGTGAAATTACTAAATAACGTTTACATTTGTATTCAATAAGGAATAATTAAAATATTTAAGTCTCATGTGAGGTGGTACTAAAATGAATGAGTTTTGATAAGATAAAATTAAACCAAATTATGATGATTCTATTAGCGGCATATATAGTATTAAGTATAAGACTACTGATAGCTTTCGAAAAATAACAAACTATTGAACTTTATATATCATATGGCCGTGATCACTCATTGTTTTAGTAACCAGGTGATAGCTTTCAACCCCCAAATTTCAAGTTGTCATTTAGTGATCTAACACATACAAGAGCTATACACTGGATCACTAATTGTTTTCTGGAAAGAAGAAATACGATACACATTGTGAGGTCTGCGGATATTTTCCATTTTATCCCATAAGTGAAATTGTGAAACTGTTTAGTTCATATACATACTCAAAGAGTTTTAGGTGACAGTAATACTCAAATATGACATGCTTGTAGTCAACAGTGAACGGTATGTATCTAAAACACGTTCTTTATACAACTTTAAGTGGGCATGTTATGTTTTCGTTACTGGAAATTATTCTTCTGAATTTCCTACACTTCGACAGCTATGCATATCCGACTATATTCTTGTAATTGATACACATTTCTAGATTATTTGCTAGTAGCCCATTTACTGGTATCCTACACTGTTCCCTATCACCCGTTTAAAGTATCACTGACATTTCAGCATGTCGCTTTTGTTGTCATTTATAATATCAAAATGAAAATAAGAGGCTGGAATATTATGAAATATATTACTTAAAAATAAATGAAAGTCAAAACTGCACAATTAGAAAATTTGCAAAGTAGTACAATCACAAATGTTTACATAAGACTTTGAAATTCACTTACTTTATTTCCTAACACTCAATGTAATAATACTTCATACACTATGACTAAGCGTGAAGACGAAATGACCTAGGAACTCTATTTATATTTCATCAAATTATAAAATAAAGTCTGAGAAGTTGTAAAATAAAATACGGAAAACTTGTAACATATTGTTTTAGACATGGATTCACTTATTCCTTAATCAGAGTGAAATTAAATAGACAGGTTTATTAGCCACTTGTTAACTGGTAAAAAGGGTATATTCCGAGGCATTTGGAAGAGTATCCAAGCTGTTTTATTGGCCGGTTTTTCAAGGTCTTAGTAGTAAAACTAGAAAGTGTCATTAACATAACCCCTTCTCAAAAGATATCAAGCCTTCTACTATAAATATTTTTCCAAAGGGATGTAGCATTTATAGAGCTTTCGCTTGACATGTAACTCTAGCTCTGAGTGATGAATGGCCGAAATTTTACATTCTTCGTGTAACTTTAACCGAAATTGATTTTCATGCAGCTAGATATTTGACTAAGAAGTCGACATTTGCTAACGAGCGACTATTGGATACGTGATCCAGTACAATATATTGTAATGTAAAGATGACTAGTTCAACGGTTGTACAAAACATCACAAATTTTCTTATAAAAATTTTGCCTGACTTGAATGTAATATTCAGGTTAAGTCTCCGCTAAGAAATTTCAATATTCATGTGTTTTATTTCTATATTAAACAGGTTTAAATCCGTAAGGAATTGTGAAATTTAAAGTCATCTGTATTGCAATCTGTTCATTTAGTATTCGTGCGTGAAGTAGAGGATTACCCATAGACAACCTTATCTCTAACGAACTTGTGATAAGCGGAACATTCAACGACTCAAATGAAACTTAGTTCTAAGTAACGTTTAATTATTCAAGTGAATATCAGTTAAGTTGGTAAGCTTTTCAAAGAGAGAACCTCGTCTATTAGTATGTTAAAAAGGTATAGATTCACCTCCCAGCTGTGTAGTAATTCTTTTATGAATGCATTTTCTTGATGTTTTCGTGTTTCACATACAAATTTAATATTGATGGATACTTTTTAGATCATCAGAACCTGACACAATCATCTATAGACTCATGAAATGTGTGTGTGTGTGTGGGTGGGTGGGTATTTGTAAAACGTAATAAACTTCAGTAAATTACTACGCATGTACTGATTTATGCTAGTAATTAAGACAAAAGCGAGTGAAAAATACATCCACTTGAGTACTTTATCAATTACTTTTCTGTGTCATTTATGTAAGTTCATTTTGTAATCACAAATAATAAAGGATAGACAAATGCACAGTCTTTCAATAAAGTTTTTACTTTTACCTACGAAATGAAAATATAAAAAAAAACTAAGTCATCGCAGAAAAGTAAAGTAACTATAATTCGCCTTTTGCTTATTTCCATTCGTGTGTACTTAAATATGGAACAAAATAGAGTATATAACCAAGAAGTGGTTTCGTATATTTTTGTGTTGATAAAAAATATTAAAGTACTTGAAAAAAACTGACAGAACATTATTCAACACTATGAGTCAGGTGCAGATCCAATACAATTCTTTTGCAATGTCTGACTAGAAAAATAACGTAGACCAGAGTTAGGAAAAGTCAGTGTTCATGAAGTGCAAACTGTCACATCTAAGTCCATAATCAAAACTGTAAAGCTAAACAGTCATATTTACCAATTAAAAGGAAGAATTATTGAATTGAATTTTTGATTTTCCCGTCGATTGATTGGACCGAAGTGCTCGGTCTCAGGTTGACATGTCGGCTTCTTGTGCAGATGCTTCGACGATGTCTGGGTATTTAGTTAGTATACAATTGTTGGATGGTGGCCACTGCTAGCCACCATCCAACAATTGTATAAAAGGAAGAATATTATAAAATAAATTATTGTCTGATTTTTATGGTAAATAAATTGAAATTCAAAAACCTCATAGCATCATTGTACAATTAGCAGTTAGTTTTTCAATGACAGTCAAAGTTGTATTAAGTTGTTTGAAGTGGTCCTTCTATTAAGTTCACAGGTGTAGCCTTATCGGTACCACCGTCTAGCGAACTGTAAGACATTCCCCTTCATTTCTAATCTGAAATAAAGTAAGCTGCTTTCCAGGTGCTAAGCTAAACATTACAGATAAGAGTTGACATACATTAGCAAGCGATTATAGTCTTCAATATTTCTACCTCCATTTATAAGTAGAGGATATGTTGCCTTAGTTTCTAAACCGAACTTACTGTGGTTTAAGAAATGCTGATTACTGATGGAACACAGACTTGACCAGTGGCAAGATTTGATCCTGTTGAATATGATCACTGTGTCACTAGATAAAAGCTAACCTGTCATTCTCAAAGGACAATACCATTTAAAATCTTTGCAAATAATAGGGTTAGAAAACAGATGAAGTCACAGTCCTCGAAGCTGACTCTTGGCCTAATTATCAAGTACTGGCTTTAGTGTTTCCGTTGGTAGACTATTTTGATCAGAGTCCTTTAGTTATAAATTTCTGTTAGCTCCGCAAATGTAGATATTTTTTGTTTGACTATATGTCTTTATAAAATCATAAATATGTTGAACAAATTCTGAAGCTAAGTGTCAGTACCCTCAGTGTCATAATTAAAGATTATGAATGATTTCAGTTTGTCGTAAGTTTTTCGGTTACAAGATGTCGATTAGTTTAATTATTTCACGTTTGCTGCCTTATGGTCATGTAAGTTTTATAACAACCAAAAACGTAAATTACATTTGGCTAGGTTTTGAAAAATTTTATATTCCAACAAACAGGCTTTAGATCTTACATTTGTAATTCCTCATTTTTCTGACGTTGGCATTTACTTTATTTACTCTGTTTCACGGGGCTGAGACTTCGAGGAATAAAATTTAATGATAAAACTATCATTTCCTCATCTTTTGTGTAAGACACTTTTTTCAAGTACTGTGAAGGAAATTATAATTCCGTGTTTTTCAGCAATAATATTATTAACAAATGAACAGCAGTTTAAATATTGTCTCCTTTTATTGCGAACTGTATTTTTCTAGTTTAATCAATCCAGTTTAAACCTATTAACTCACCTTCACCTGCACATATATGTGCATATAATTACTTGCATAAACTTCAAGCCATTGTGCTTAGTTGTCCGCGTTTGAAATGAATGTAAGGCACTCAAAAAATTAAGACTTACTAAGATTTGTCAACTTATTCAGTAAAACCTACATGTTTTGATTTGACACTAGTAACTAGTGTGATGCGTCTAGTCCTCTGATTGGTGTAGACTGAATTCTATCAGTCAGGTTGCAGATACACCTTGCTGACGAGTGCCAACTAGCACGAAATCTAGGTCCAAGGCTTTCTGTCGACTGCCTCCAACCATATAATACCATCAAAACTTACATGTCTTAATAAAATGTGGTATGATGAGGTCAGATATGAGCCTGATTTTTTGTGCTGAACGGAATAAGATTCTTAAAACATTCTCTTGAAGAGTAACAGATAAAGTCAACGTTTCAAATTGATTGAGTGGATTGCAGGCTACTAGTGATCTATTTTCCTACAGCGTTGAAGTTCATTTTACTTTGTGTATAACAGCTGTTGCTTCACAATTTAAAAAGACACTTGCCAATAATCTGTAATGACTTCAGAATTGAAATTCTCCTGCTAACTTTTATTTAGCTACTAGATTCATTATAGTTGCTTCATATTTCAAAGACAAGAGCTTCAATTTACAGAAATGTTTCCTATGTAATTTATTTCTCATATTCGACTCATGAAACACGTTATTGTAGTTATTTGAGATATCTGTCAATGTTTAATAAAAAGAGGAATTTGTGACGCATTCATGTAATATGACCTTCGTGGACTACATTCCTCATTATTGATGTCATGATATATCTAAAATGAGTTATAATATAATGAACCATGGTTAGAATCTAGTCTCTAGGATGTGTTCACTATGGATTGTCCAAACCACTGGTTATTCTGACCCAAGAATCTGATAAACCACGTTTAGAATTTGAGGATAAATCAAGTCTTATGCTAACTAGTATGAAGAAGCAAGATTTCAGTATCTATGGGATCTTTCAATCCTATATTTTCAAACAGCTGCTTAGTGTAAATCAAAATGCGCTAAAATGGAGACTAGATTGATGATCGTATTGTATAGTTTGGCTAGATCTGAGGAGAAGCCACAATGATATTGCCTACTTTTTATTTATTATTGGATGTAACACTAGTACTTACTATTTTAACATTTATTTTGCAGCACTTACCGAATGATCACCAGAATATACAATATTTAGAAGATGGAACAGTTGAAGTTATTGACACCTTATCAAAAGAGGAATATTACAAAAGTTTACGTCGTCGTGGCACTGAAAGCAGTAGCCAGAATACAAAACATTATGGATTATCTAGTCAGCTGAGTTTGGAAACGTCTCATGGAGGCACACTGCGTTCGGGATTCGGCAAACGTAAACGTATGCTGCGTGATTTCAAACCATCTGGAAAAGAAGAGTTGTGTTATGTTCTCATGCTAGAAGGAGTGGAGAAAACGTACACTATTGATGTAAGTTTTTTTTCAAAATTCTGTGTCCTGTTACTTGGTTCTTACCTGAATTAGTTTAGTTTCTTCTCATATTAATGTACTGGTATAACGCGAAGTCTTTTTTAAATACTGCGTACAAGCGGGCTTTACAAACAAACGGATGAAACCCAAAAGCAGTCATATTTGCTTAGAAAGTTTAACCTCGAAAGCGGTAATTGCTTGAGGTTATTTTAATGTATTTCAAGAGCTCTACAACAAATTATCTACAAACTTGCTGTTTCTGAAGAACATGGTGTTTTACCATCAAATATCCTTAAGGCGTCTATCTAACTTGAAATTGATTTCAGAGCAGGTTTCACAGCAGACCTACAACAAAGAAAGTTTAAAAACCGAACAGCAGTGATATTATTCTGAAGCCCTTTAATTTTTCTCACCCACAAAATTCAGGTTGCACTACCATCATGTTGTTATCCGGCCAGTGAACTGAAATACGATAGTCTATGAATTCTAACTTCTAGAAATTAGAGACATAGTGCTACATGCATAGGATGGTATCACTGAGTTCTCATCCTCACATTCGGCAATGTGGGCCCAAGCACTTTCTACTTGCCATCAGAATTCCTTAAAAATTCATCTTGAATGTGATCACTAATAAGCAGTGAGTTAGTTCTGATAATTCTATCAGTGATAAAGTGAGAGGATTATTTAATATAACTAGCAGCGGTTTTCCTCATTCACACTCTGGCAGGACCCACTAACTCAATTCGACTCTGAACACTGGTGTTCACCTGGTCAACATCAATGCGCCACACTTGTGGAATTAGTGTGAGCCTGATGTCACTGCGGCGTTATGCATTCTCACAGATATATGCTGTTCATTATCTTCAAATGTCTCTTATCGAAGTGGTTAAGCTTTAAAATAAGAGAATAAAAATGACGACTAATATTTATATTTACTATATACTACACTATATACCATTCTATACAACAATAAAATCTTAGAAAACCTGATTTACCGTTAGAGAACTAAGAAGTAGGTAGCTTGTCCTATCATTTAACTCCAGGAAAACATTTAGAAACTATGTCCACTTTAAGAAGTCATCAATATTTCCAAAATTCTTCTTAACACCATGACTATCAAATGTTTTCCTAACTGGATGTCGTTAGATTTATAACTCTAAGGTATTCATAAATAATTATAAGCTTTGAGTGCAAACAATCTTTTCTTAGTAAACAAGAGGAATCGAGAAGTATTTTCGTCAAACACTGACTATTGAATAATGTGATCAGGCACAATTCGCAGTAAATTATTTACTTTCAGGTTAATTTTAGCTTTCATCCTAGCATAAAATATTAGAATATAGCCAAAACTTACTATAATTTATGATACATAAATCATGTATGAATGCAATTTTCTCAAATACATTTGTAGACGTCCAGCATTTAAAAGTCTAAAGAAGAGGACAAACATAAGAAAGGAATTTCTTCAGTTTTCATAATATTTATTCCTCGTCTTCTTCTTAATTACTGCCATATTATCTTAGGTAGTTTTAATTATTTTTCTGTCTAAACAGTCTCCTTAGGCGTCGGTTGTATAGCGGTTAGGACACTCGCCGACCATGCATATGGTCCGGGGTTCGATCCCCGGTCGACGCACTCCTTTACCTCACTGAGCCAGAAATAATGCTGGTAAAGAGGAAAGGTTGGGCATGAGGCTAGCAACCCCATCCTGTAAAAATTAAACACTGCTACAGAAACTTCAAGCCACTAGCTTGGAGCCCTATGTTCCACTGGGAACGTGAAGGAAAAATTATTATTATTTATTAAACAGTCTACAAGGAAACAATTCATTACTATTTTAATCTGAAGAAGGTAATCTGGTATTTATTAGTCTTCATGGACTGAGGAGAATGATATAATATGAATTTCACTCACTTCGTGTGTCACCTACCTATTGTCTTCTACGACCACTCAACAGTGAACATTTCTGAGTTAACATAAGGTCGAAGCCATGACCATTAGGGATAGTAAAGAGATAGAATGACGCGCACAAGTTTGTAAAGTTCGAAATATAAAGAAACAGTTTGTTACTTTGTCCTTCAGTAGCCAATTTACTCGTCTGGGAGTAAACAAAAACAGAAAATGATTTGATTTTTTTAAATAATTAAACCAGATAACTGAGGTTAAATGCATTACTTAACCATATGAATTGCATTATTCACTATAAACACATGAAGTCCAACATTTGAATAGTTCACTGTTTCATACATTTATTCCCCTTAATGAATTTGAACAAAGCAAGAACTACAGTTTTAGAAGAATAAAATGGTACCATCTTTCATTTCGTTGCCTTCTCGTCCGCTTCTTACATGGCAAAGACATTATTAAATATATCTACAACAACAATTTTAACATGCTTGCACAGATTTCATTTTAAACAAAAATCAGTCGATCAATATACGCATACGATTTTCTGAACATGTACCAAAAAGCTTACGTCTAAAGGGAACAAATGCTTTAAACAGTGCCATCGCCAGGCATCTCCTCGACACGGGTCATGAGGTGGACGTCGAAAGGTCGTTCAAAATTATCAATAAGCAAAATAGCTCAATTTTCCTTAAGTTTGCTGAAGCCATTTCCATCAAGCACCTGAAACCTGATTTATGCGTCCAGAAAGAAGCGGTTATCAGTCTTTCTTTGCCCTGGTAACTGGATAATTTCACCTCTCTTTCTTCCGAATGTGAAATGCTAAAAGTTTCCATTGTGTATGATTATTATTGTTCAGAATAGTGTTCAATAATGCATATTTATATATGTATGCGTTTATTGATCGATTGATTTTTGTTTAAAATGAAATCTTTGCAAGCATGTTAAAATTGTTGTTGTAGATATATTTAATAATGTCTTTGCCATGTAAGAAGCTGACGAGAAGGCAACGAAATAAAAGATGGTACCATTTTATTCTTCTAAAACTGTAGTTCTTGCTTTGTTCAAGTTCACTGTTTCTTAGCTACATTGGATTTAGAGTTTCGTATTCCACCAAATTACTCGAGTTCGCCTGTAATAGTCTTAACGTTGGCTTTTCAAACTGGTAATACAATGAAACTTTATCCTTTAAATTACTGCTTTACTTAAATGCATTTTATCGTATGTAATCTAGGTTTATATTATTAAATTTTACCGCCGTGATGAATAATAGAAAAACTCATAACTAAAAGTTATCAAGAAAAGTAATACAAGTTACTCAGTTATGAGACTATTAACGACTGAGTCACGTGAAAAGTACAAACATAGAACCTTCGTGTCATGGAGACACTGTGCGTTAAAATAGTTTTGAAAAGTGCATACATTCTTTTTCGGACTCTAGTGATAGAAAAAGTCACTGGTTGTGTATCGAACACTAATAATAAAGTTAAAAAGAGGCTTTAGGTGTACCTGGTGTTCATATGGCTCTAGTACACGAATGTATGGTCACTTACTACTTAACTAATAACCATTTATTCTACAGTTTATTGTCATGTCACATGCTAACAGAACGTTTTAATTTCCAAGTGAGTATATAAATAAATACTGGTGAATTTTGTCAATTAGTTTTTCTATAGTGGTGTTAGATAACAGACTGGCACTAGTATCAAATCAGACAGTAACTAAAGTCATGACCAAAGCCCAGACCATCATAACCCTGAAAAATGTATACACAATATGATGATAGCAATAAGACTGAAATTTTTGTACGTCGTACACTGAAAAACTGTCTACTTCCCCACATATATCTGTTGTTTATATGACAACAGATAAAAGCCACTTGAGACATGGAAAGCTATAGATGACTGTTCCACTTTTTGTTTGGGATTATTCCAAATGCTTTCGTACTTTATATTCTTCACTTATTACAAACAAGAAAACGTACAAATATCTTTCTGTGTTTCAGAAAAATTACTACTTGACAAATTTGTCTACGGTCACCTCTTTCTCATTAAAATACGACTTGATGTTTTATTGATCAGTGCTGATTAGTGATCAGTTGGGTGGGTCAACATAAACTAATCAAAAATACCTTTGTATTGTCCTAAAATCATTTCATATGATTGTTTTTCCGGCTTTTAAATTTGTTGTTCTTTTGTCTTCTGTCTTTCTTTATCCTTTGCTTCTGAGTATGACTTTTCATCAATGTGACTAACATCACTGTCATTATTCTCTTGTGAATCCCCTATCTGTGGAATAGTACTAAGGTGTAAGCTGGGCACCAAAGCGAATCTCCGTAGTTTTGAGTCAGTTTATGGTGTAATCCAAAGTTTGTTGATTAGATATTTATTATTATTTAGGGTCCAAAAGGAGGACATAGTTATAGGCTTGACATACTAGATCCTGCGGATCAAAACTGTTGGCATCAGATAAAAAATCCTTGATAAATTTTTTTTGTTTTCAAGTATTGGTTTTGTAAGGATTTTGTCTGATTGCATGGATGATTTCATCATGAGCTGACATCAGTTAGAGAACCACTGGAAAACCTGGGAGTACTGGATAACTGCCTCCTCCATTCTAGTCTGGGACTTCTCATCAGTACGCACCCACTCATCGAAGAAGACATCGCGAAATGGCCGCGCTATGTCATGAACTGTCAGAAATTTCTTTGTCTCAAGTCGCGTTACCATGTAAAGGTGAGCTTCCTATATTAGCTAAAAATAAATGAAATTACAGAAAGTGAACTTGATGAGTTCCACAAGTTTTGCTACAGTGACAATATTTGAAAACAAAGCATGAATCAGGAAATTTGTTTCATTTCACACTGAACTTACGTGAAGACATATTTGCACAGAATAAATATATACGTATATATGTTGAATGTTACAATATGTGAAATTACTAACTGAATGGTATTGATCTTAAGCATGCTAGTGAAATGAAACACATTAATTAGTACGGCTGTATGTTAAAACCTTATGAAGCATCTGAATTGTATGTCAATCCAATTGACTCACTGCCATTCAAAATACTTAATGTTAACTGAGACTGGATTG